CCTGCTCCTGCTCTTCGTCCTCGTCATCCTCTTGCACATCATCATCCTTTTGCTTCTACTTGTCCTCAGTCTTATTCTCCCGCTCACCCGCCAACTCCTTCTCCCCCTCGTCCTCCTCCTCCTCCTCTTCCTCCTCCTCCTCCGCCTCCTCCTCTTCCTCCTAGTCCTCCACCTCCTCCTCCTCCTCCTCCTCCTCCTCCTCCTCCTCTGTACGCGGCTATTCTCTCGATTGCGCATAACACGATGGGCTCTTGTTGCTGGAGCTCTGCGTCGGCCATGACCGCACTCGCGGATAGAGCACGACCAGCGCAGTGGGAAGGGATGGGAGGGAGGGATTCGGATGTCGAATGTGGCGCGAGAACACCTAGCTTGTCTTCCCCTCTCGCCCTTCTCCTCCGTCCCCCTTCCAGGCCTCAGACGTCGTACTTTCCCCCTGCGCAGCGTGACCCATCCCCAGACTCGGCAACGTCGTATTCATGTGCTCCTCCTCCTCCCCCTCCACAGCATGCCCTCCCGCGCGCTCGGCCACGCACCACGAGCAAGCTGTTCATCCGTGTTCGTGTCCTGCACCCCCGGGCCATAGAGAACGGCCTCATCGCCCAAAAAGCCTGCTTCTTTGCTTTTTCTTGTCCCCCTGAGCGACAAAGGGCCTGGGCCCTCCCCCGTTCTGCCCGCCCTCCCCTCTCCCAGGATAGACGCCCGAACTGAAATGTTTTGGCCCTCCGCGCGGGGTTCCTGGATCTGCGCTGGGCCCCCGCCGCTCCTGGCGCGAGGAGCGCGCCGGGAGCGGCGCCGGAGGCGCCGCCAGGGGGCGCCCAGCGCGGAGCCAAGGAAGGCCGCGGAGCGGCAAACGCTCATGTTTGTGCCGGTTCTTCGTCTTCGACGAAAGGGTCTGGGCCCTCCCCAATTCTGGCCTCTCTCCCCTCTCGGGCTTGGCCTCGGATTTCTTTGTGCCCGACGGCCTTCACGTGCAGCACAGGGTGCAGACGCCAGGCTTGGCGTCCAACATCCGGCCCGTGCCGTCCCTCCCCCTTGCTGTGCTCCCCCTCCCCTCTCGGGCTGGGCATCGGATTGCGTCGTGCCCGACGGCCTTCACGCACATGGTGCCGACACCAGGCTTGGAGTCGAACATCCAGCCCGTGCCGTTTGCAATCCTCAGCGGGTCGGCAGCGGCGGCGACGGCGGCCGCGAGGACGGTGGCGCCCGGCTCCGGCAAGTGTCGCCCTCGGCCCTCGAGGACAGAGCAGGGATGTCTTCAGACTTTCTCGTGAAACGTGTGAACGTGTGGCGCCTCCTCGAGGTTGGTGGCACTTCGTGGGAGCCTGCCATACCATCTTGTCGGCTCATGCGAATCGATGCCACATCGGCGCGAATCGGCGCTCGCCGACGCTAAATCGGCGCTAGCCCATCGACTCCCAGACGCTAATCGATGCTAGCCGGCGCGAAGAACGGCATTAGGAGGGTCTACCATCGGCCTACAGGGGTGGCAGCGGCGGCGGTGGTGATGACGAGAAGCGCTCGGCATCCATGGGGCGGCGGCGGCGACGACACCGTCCTCGTCCTCCCCCTGCCCGTGGGCAGTCTACAGGTAGGTCGGGCATGTCCCCCTGCAGGCGGATCTTGGACGAACCATCAAACATACACAACACTTGATCAAACATCCGATGCTTTCAATAAACAAATCGTCCCCGGACTGTTTGTGGACTGTTCTTGAATTGCCACCCCTGTAGAAGTTAGGAGGCAACTACTGGGAGGTTTTCGTTGGAAATATTGAAGAGGATTAAGGCCCTTTTGGGGGCTGTTATGCCGGAGTGGGCCTCGGATTAAACCAGATTCAACGGGATTCGGCGGGATTAAGCCGGATTCAGCGGGATTGAGCCAGACTAACCTGGATTAAGCCGGATTTCGGACCAGGGCAAAAACAGAATTTGACCTCCCAGGATCGGCGGTGGACAAACCTCCCTTCAGCAAACCGCCCCTTAGTGAAAGCGGCCCGGGACCGACACCGATGCACCTGGCCCCGCAAAAATGGCGGCCGCGACGCCCCCTCGCGAGCCGAAAACGGCCAATTCGCTCATCGACGTGTCAGGGTAGGAGATCCGGCCGGGTTTCGCTAATAGTTTCGGTAGAACTCCCCCTGTCCCGCTTGCACGTTTAAGAAAATCACTCTAGTCTACCCTGGGATCCAGATTTTCTTCAATATGCCCAGAAAACTCAGACCCTGGCTCCGAAGCGGGCTTTTCCGAATTATTCTGAAGGGTGTAAACACATCGTCCCCAAACTATTTTTGGGGCTGTTCTCGACTTTCCCCCCTGTAGAAGGACGCGCCCCACTTGACTCCGCGCCTGCGGCGGTGCTCGGCGGCGCTGGCGGCGGTGCTCGGCCCTGCCCTGGCGGCGGCGGCGGAAGGCCGTCGTCCGGCCCGGCCCGGCTGGTCTGCGCCGGTCCTCAGGAAGGTGACGCCCTGCTCGCCTCGTCGCTCCTCGACGACGGAGACCACCTCTGTGAGGGGTGGGGGGCCTGCTGCTGCTCCCCCCCAAGCTCCTCCAGCTGCTGCCCCTCCTCCTCCTCCTCCTCCTCCTCCTCCTCCTCCTCCTCCTCCTCCTCCTCCTCCTCCTCCTCCTCCTCCTCCTCCTCCCCCTCCCCCTCCTCCTCCTCCAGCTGCTCCCTCCTCCTCTCCTCCTCCTCCTCCTCCTCCTCCTCCTCCTCCTCCTCCTCCTCCTCCTCCTCCTCCTCCTCCTCCTCCTCCTCCTCCTCCTCCTCCTCCTCCTCCTCCTCCTCCTCCTCCTCCTCCTCCTCCTCCTCCTCCTCCTCCCCCTGGCCCGCTGATTCGACTGGATCAGCAAGCCAGCCATGCAGGTAGAAACCAAGCTAGTGGGATTACGATGTACAACTGTAGGGCCCTGGCTCGCAGGCCAGAGGATTTATTAATCAATTCTTGGCGCGTTCCACGGCCACCCCAGTGAGGTGAGCACCCCAGCATCAACAACGTGCCTTTTCTGGGGTGGTACAGCCCCATAATGTCAAAGTAAACGTGCTGCATGAGAGTCGTACGATCGTTTCGTACGGGATGTATCCATGATGTTTGTTGTACGTGCAGAGACATGGCGTCTCCTAGAGTTGGGGCTTCGGCCCCACAAGAGTTACCCGCGCAGCAAGGCTGTTAGGGCCAGGGACTACGGACCACTGCATGGCAAGTTCGCGGTAGCCCCTGGCCCGCTGATTCGACCGGATCAGCAAGACAACCATACTGTGTGACTGTAGAAGGGGTGAGTTTCGAGAGGTTCCGAGCGAGTGTAATTACGCGTGCACGTGCGATGTAAACAATGCTCGCAAGACGCTAACTCTACCATGCGTCTGCTGCCACTCGTCCTGCTGCCCTGACCAAGCAGAGGAAAAAGAGCCACACTTTGTTGTGGCATCCTGTTTCATGTCGCTTTCGCGGCCTTGCTAAAAACTACGGCCGTCCAGACCGTCACGCGGGCCACTGGCATCAATATGCGACTGGAACGCTCACGGCATCCAACCTCGCAGGGGGAAGTCACCCCGATGGGGCGACGCCCCGTTTGTGCCGCTATCGTGCGGCACAGGTACTAGTATGTGCAGAGAGGCAGCCATCTTGACAGGGGGTCCCCCCCGAAGTGGCACTCAGCACGCAAGCATCGCAGGCTGCCTGCATGGGCTGGGGCCCCTGCCGCTTTGCCACACCTACGCTGGGGCTGAAACTCCCAGCGTTTGCCCGACATGCCAGTGTCCCTGCACTAAGTGCAAGAGCCCCTGAATTCAGCGGCGGGGAAGCAATCGGGCCCACCTTGGGATCCGCTTCTTCCCCGGAGGGGAACCGCTGGGCAGTGCACGCCAGGAGTCAAATTGCGGACCACTGCTGCGGCAAGTTCGCTCCCCCAATATGGGATGCCACCCCGTAGGAGCCCCGATTCGACAGGATCACTTTGGGGCGTGGGGTGAGGAGGGGGTGGCGGCCAGCGAAATCGATAAAGAGGTGGAACATCGACGGGTGTTCCTTACTAAGCACCTCAGTATCGTGCCGATCCGTCATCCCCCAGCTTTAGTCTGCGCGGCGGACACCCGCATCGGCCAGACCCCGCCCCCCTAGGGGCTGAGGTGCGAGTGCACGGCCCGCTGACTAAGAATACATCCGAGACAATCCTCCTGCTGCTGCTCTTCCCCGTCCCCTCCTTCCTGTGCCCCTCTGACACTCTTCCTCCTTCCCCTCCTCCTCCACATCGTCCTCCTGCTCCTCCTCCTCGTTCTGCTTCCCTCCTCCTCCATTGCGCCTTCACGGTTTTACGCGACGGGCTGCGTCGTCTCGTGGTTGAGACTGTGTTTTCCTCTTCCTCGTCCTCCCTCCGACTCCTCAAACATCATACCTCCCCCCTCTCCAGACCTGAGCCCTTCGTCTTCCTTCCTCATCCTACTGTCCCGCCCCCTCCACCCCATACGCAATGACACAGTATGAATAGTACTCTCCTCTTTCCCCAGACTCTGTCCAGAAGATAGCCAGCCTTCTCCGCGTACACTCAGGATGCCTAGACTTGTTTCTGACATGTGTTGTGCAATCCGATTGGTTTCGTTGTTTCAAAATTGTCGTCCATCTGCAGCGTGGGCCTCATTTTTTGATCGACGCTTTGCTCCCGTCGTTCACATAGGTGCTCTCGCATCAGCGCAGGCCACTTTTCTGGATCCGATGTCTTCTCATCGTTGTCGCCCCCCCTCAGTTTCCCTCCTCAGCCTTCTCCTGGTCCTCCTGCTCCTCCCGCTCCTTCCACTCCAGCTCATGCTGCTACTGTTCGTCCTCGTCCCCCTCCTTTTCCATTTTCCTCCTGTTCCTCCTGCTCATCCTCCTGCTCATGTGTCACCTCCTCCTCTTCCTCCTCCTCCTATGTACGCAGCTCCGTTTTTTCCAATTGCTCAAATCACGGTGGAATAATATTTGGAATTCCAGGTCGGCTATGACACGCGTCGGCGGATATGGAGACAATCAAGGCATTAGGAATGGGCGGGAGTGGTAGGATGTCGAATATGGCGCGGACGCACCTAGCATACCCTCGCTCCTCTCCCTGCGACCACCCGTCGTTGAAAATAAGTTGGTCCTCGGTGTACAACAACAAGGGCTCCCGCCTTATACGTCCTCATAATGTATTCCCAAATCGCGCTCTCGCGCGGGGCTTCCTCACAATGTATGCACACATCGCGCTCTCGCGTGGGAATTCCTCGTAATCTATTCAGACGCCGCGCCCTCGACACTCAGAAATCAAGCTCTCGCTGTGGATGCCCTCGCGACGTATTTGGGAATCGCTCTATCGGTTGCAACTTCCTCGCGAATCATGTAAGACGCACGCTTCAGCAACCCACCTGCTCGACATGGCAGTCTTGACCCGCCTTCCGGACCCGCCCCTTCGGGTCTACCCGCCCGATCTGCCCGCCTGGTTCTGCCACGTGCGTTCTGCTCCTAGCCCCTAGCCCCCCTCCTGCAACTCTCTTTCGTGCTCCATCCTCCTCATTCCCCCTTGTCCCTTCCTTCCATCCGTCCTCTCTTCCCCTGCCTCAGGGGCTGCACGAAAAAAATACGCGCTGCAGGTAAGAAAGATATATACACCCCACTACGGGTACAATCGAAGACGAAGAGGGCGGGCATCGAGGGGGTGGGATATACGTGTTGAATGGCACGGTAGCAGATAATAAGCGAACAGTCTTAAAAACGATTGTTGTTGCTGGTAATAAAGCTGATGCGGTTGCGGTTTATGTTGCTGTTGGTGTTAGTGATGTTGTTGTGTTGTTTGTTGTTGATGTTGATCTTAGCATTGGTGGTGGTGTGCTTGTTGTTGGTGTTGATGTTGCTTTTGTTGTTGTTGTGTTGCCAATGTTGTTTGCTGTTCTTGTTGCTTTTTGACCTGTTCCTCCCCGCGCGACCCGTCCCGCGACCCACCCGCGACCCACCCGCGACCCACCCGCGACTCGGCCCGCGACCCGGCCCGCGACCCACCCGCGATTTACCCCGCTCCCAACCGCTCCCAGCCAGCTCCCCGCCCGCGACCCACCCGCGACCCGGCCCGCGACCCACCCGCGACCCACCCGCGACACACCCAACGACCCACCCCCATTGCTTTAACGGAAAAATTCGGCGCCTGCGGCGGGCTTGCTGCTTAAGTTGTGAAAGTTAGTCGCAGGCGGCGGGCTTTTTCAGAGCCTCGCAGACTGCCGACATCCTCGCTGGCCCATCACTCTGGTCCGCAACTGCGGAGTGTTACGTATATATGATCGCGGGCTCCGGGCCCACGGCCCTCCCCCCCCAGATGGGATGGGTCCCAGGGTCCTCGGCCCCCCCCCCGATGGGATGGGGGGAGGGGAGGAGGAGGAGGAGGAGGAGGAGGAGGAGGAGGAGGAGGAGGAGGAGGAGGAGAAGGAGGAGGAGGAGGAGGAGGACGACGACGACGACGGCGACGATGACGACGACGACGACGACGACGACGACGACGACGACGACGACGACGACGACGACGACGACGACGACGACGACGACGACGACAACGACGACGACGACGGCACCACCAGCGGCGGCGGCGACGACGTCGAGCACCGGAGCTGTCAACATGACGCCAATCCCAGCCACACGCCGCACCCACACCGCACCCACAGGGGGCGAGGGAGGGGGGGAGGAGGACCATGGCGTCACCCCGCACACACCCACAGCAACACACCACACCCACACCACATCCACAGGGGGGGGGGAGCCACCACGCCACGCCCACGGGGGGGGGGGGGGGGCATCGCGCGGGGGGGGGGGGGGGGGGCGGCCCGATGGCATTAGCATTGCGGGGGGGGGGGGCCAAAACCCTCGACCATATACCCCCCCCCTCGTGTCAGGATTCGGACAAGCCTCGTGAAATGTAGTCCTGGAGGCGCAATAGTGGGGGTCGGCGGATGTGGCGTAAGTCTATAGAATACATACATATATGTGTATGTGTATGTGTAATTATATATATACACACGTAGCACCCCGCAGTTGCGGATAAGAGTGAGGGGTTGGCGGGGACGTCGACAGTCTGCAAGGCTTTGAAGAAGCCCGCCGCAGGCGCAAAAGTTTTAAGCTATACAACAAGCCCGCCGCAAGCGCCGATTTTTTGTAAAACAATGTAGGTGGGTCGCGGATTGGGTCGCAAGTGGGTCGCAGGTGGGTCGACGGTGGGTCGCGGGTGGGTCGCGGGTGGGTCGCGGGTGGGTCGCGGGTGGGTCACGAGTGGGTCGCGAGCGGGTCGCGGTTGGGTCACAGGGTGGGTGGCCCGTGGGTCGTGAGGTGGGTCGCGCGGGTGGGTCGCAGGCGGGGTCGCGGGGAGGACGACAACAACAGCAACAACAGGCAGAATCCTCACCACGGATCCGCACTTCAGCCACGCACCCAGAGACAATGAATGACCGTTCGGCCCCCTCACTCTGATACATAGCACCCCGCAATTGCGGATAAGAGTGAGGGGGCGGGCG